AAGTCTTGACTGGAAACAAAACATCTAATTCTTGCAATGTTTTTTAGATGATAGTATGCTGATTTAGTCGCGTTTGGCACGCACCGTGTGTTAAGAGCGCTTGTAACACTCCAAAGAGAAAGGAAAAACTGAAATCGCATCATAGGACCCCTTTAATGAGTGAATCACTGAATCATTTATTCAACCGACTCGTTCAAAACGCTGATTCGTTCAGTAAGTAAACACCATCCATTGCTCAGATGCAAAACAGTGCTGTTTTCGTTGGCAAAATTGAGCAAAACAGGCGATATTGTGTCTAAAATGTAAGTCACTTAAATATATTTTATATTAAATTGAAATATAAAAAGTAAATACTCGTAATAACTCGCACTGAATTATATATTTAAAAAATATACATAAAATCATGAATCTCAGTATTAAAAACGTGAATAATCTAATTTTGCAATAATTTCCAAAAATATAAAATCTTAGAAACGCGACGAGCATTAAAATAAGTACATTTTAAGATGTTTTATTATGGTTTACACGCCTTTTCCTGTTACTACGTCCTTGTAATCAAACCAACCAATCTCTACACGCAGGGGCTGTTGAGCGAGCCAATCAGCTGTCGCTGCGCTCGCGAGCCAATCAGCGGTCAGATCGCTGTTCCTGTGAGTCGGGTTTGTTTGGTCGCCTAGTGATCGATGAGGAGGTAATAAACGCAGGTATTTATTCTCAACACGGCGATGACAAACGCATGCTTGCTTTGGATTGTGTTTAAATATCTTTGCTGCTCGCATCAGAGGTGTTTGGTCCGACAATAATGCTGGTTTTGTTATGAAATCGCTGCAGTAAAGCTATCGAAAGCTAACCAACACTAGCTGCCGCAGCTTCAGCGCAATTCAGAAACTATCATATGTTTATGATTTGGCAAATGATACAGGTTCAAATAACATGTTTAAATCACATAATGTCACCTACTAAAACGTACCGTGGTACAGTAATGATTTCTGATGAAAATACCGTGCTATTGATTAAAAGCCAAACATCTGATTCCTACATCTTGTAAAAACACTGCCAATAATGTTTATCCAGGTTTTATCCCGTTGTCTGTCTCTGTGTATTCCGACAAATTTTCAAATGTTTGCTTGCACTTCTGTTACGGAATTTGAATTTCTTTTCCCACACCTGCTCAACACTGAACAGAAGCCACGCCCTCTCTGCAGTTTGACAGGCAGGTGCATTCGGACCGAATGTAATGATTGGACGAACATTTTATGGTCCTGAAGCCTCCACAGAAGACTTTCAACCAGTGTAACAAAAAAATTATGAAAAACATTGCCTATACTAGGCCTAGGCGATAAAATGGTATCGATATTTATCGACGGTAGGGTTGGGCCGATAGACAATGCCATCGTCCATCGCCGATGGCTGACAGACATCACAATGTTAAGCTGACATCGTGATTCCAGGATCTGCAAATCATTCGCCATTGTCCTATCAGACATTTCTCCTTACTCTGTGTATGTGGTAAGTGAACTTTCATGTACTGTAATGCAGCAGGCTACTGCTAGCAAGCGGATAACCTTTTAGTGGCTCCGTATAACGCGTTATTCGTTTCACGCTTCGGGCACACCCCTAACCCCGCCCCCCGATGTCATCGTCCATCACGATGTTTCACTGTAGACACTGTATATTGCCCAACCCTAATCGACGGTACACCTTGTTCGATAACGATATAAAAAAATGTTAGATATAGTGCACGATATAGGCACGTGCTATGAGTGATGCAGACAGCACACACAAACACGAACATGAGTGCAGTGCCTGCCTGTGATGAGGAGATTGTGAATAAAAAAAAAAGAATATTAGTCAAATTTAAAATAAACATTTGCATTTGAATGCAATAGTACAATCGAATGTTAGGTGTGCCTCGGGGAGCGTCATCAGTGGAGCACGAGATGCGGTCATAATGATGTAAGTGACATTGTAGTTTAATGTTTTGTTAGTCTAGCCCACAAGACGCGCAGTTGCTGCGTTATTCATTCAGACTATTAGAGAAATATTGTAGCTCAATGCCTAGAAGATCTTGATTAGGTTAAAACCGAAACCAAGCCATTCACACAGATGCATATTCAGCGCATTTTCTAGACGGACAAATACGACTGCTGCACTCGCGTCTCACACAAGAGATGTATAGAAAGCTATGCAAAGTTAAAACAGTTTAAACTTTTAGAAAACACGTCACGAATTTGTGGAGGTTTATTCCTTTTCACTGCGTCTCATATGTTTTTAAAGGCAATCTGTGTGAATGGCACTTCGGCTCTTTGTATTAAGCAATGCATAAATACGTGATGCTGTTTTGTTCATAATTGTTTATGCAATTTATGAAATTATATTTGATTTATATGAGTTAATTTAGACGTAATGCACGTTTTTTTATAGACAGTTATTTCCTTGCGTTGACAATTTAATGCGCTGCATTATTTTGCTCATTGCGTCCTCTGGAAACAAGCCAAAAGTTTAACCTAATTAATCTGCATATAAAACATTAGAAATTAGATATGTAATTTTTATTTTGTTTTTGACTGATAAAACAAAAAAAATTGTTTGTCTCAATAAATTGAGTAAATTAAAAAATACAGTGGTTAAATGTAAAAAAAAATTCTATTGCTTTGTTTTAAAAAAGGTTATAAAAAATGTCAATTATCGATACCAAATGATATGAAACATTATATCGTTGATACATTTTTTAGCTATATCGCCCAGCCCTAGCCTATACTAGTTTTAAGTGCATAATCTGGTGCACTTTTTGTTGTAATTTTCAGTGTGAACATTATTCGCACTATTTATACTACACAATGGCATAGAAGAGTGCATAAGGGACACACTTAAAGTGCAGTAAACACTATAATATAACTAATTAACAAATTAAAGTTGCAGTATGTACTATTGACTGCTAGTGGTTGAAATGGGTACTGCAGTCCAATTTCAAAATACTGGAGAGTTGTTTCTCCCGCCCCTTCTCCTCAGACTCAATGCTCACGCGGGTTGCCAGGTTGAGTAAGCTGATGAGTTGATTTATCCGCGTTTAATATGCTTCCTGTCACAGAGCTTTTTAGGTGGATGGAGAGGCTGTGTAGGTCGGGTAGAATCTGCGATTTCTGACTCGTTTGCTGGCTTCCATGGCTGCAATATGCTGTTTACCAGCAACTGGCAACCCAGGGTAAACTGGCAGTAGGCGGAGTCACACAGACCAAAGCAAAAACAGACATTCCGACACTGAATGCACATTTCGAAGTAGAATAACTGACTGTAGCATTGTTCTTCAGAGAAACAAGTATGTGAACTTGGCATGTTTCCTAAATATCTGCAAACAAATGGTATTTTATGCTTTATTAGTCAAAAAAACCCTAAAAACTTCAAAATGAATACAGAAATAAATACCAGTTTGCGAAATCAAGCAACATTTACCATCTATTGAATTTTCACAAACGCAGTCCATCAGAAATTTTGTGAGGACAAAAGATTTCCCACACAGATTTCACAATGCATTCAAGTCAGTCACACAGACTCGCTGCATTGATCTTGGTCTGAAAGTGACTTCTGTGTGAGCTGTGCTTCATGCATCTACACTATTGGCAATGGACCTTTTGTTATGTACTTCTTCTGTGCTTTCTTTATGGTATTTTTTTGATTTTGGAGTACTCCTACAGGCACAATAAGGCATGAACAACAGGTAATAATTCCCACAAGCTGTTTATTGAAAATGCACATACTGGATAGAGGAGGGCTCTCATTCCATTGATACAGGCCCCGATGCGTATTTATTGCTTCATTTTCATGGCACAAAAATAGAAATACAAATTTCTGCCATGCAAACCTACTACTGTCAAGCTTATACAAAACAGGACAAAGCAGGGGCTTCACTAATACAGAGGAACAACCATGGCATTAAGATGGCGTAACTGCAGAAAGTGAGACGATAAAAAAACGAGAGTACAAAATAATGGTCGTAAAAAAGGACACCACCACACAGTGATAGATGGGCCAGAACACGTCCGATAACAACCTGCACTCGCAGCATTCACGTGCAAGTAGTGCTTGAATAAACGAGAAAACTGGAACAAACATAACAGACTGCATTCCCAGAATGCTGTGCAAATAATCTCCATCACCTCCTTCATCTGTCACGAACAGATCCCTTCCATGCATTTACCACTATCAAACACTTGACCACAAAACGCTCATCTGACCTCCAGCGACCCGCAGGACTCTCCATCCTCGCATCCTTCCTTCGCTAGCTCTCCGATAAGACCTTATCATCAGTTCAGCTCAATGCCAGCAGCATGTTAAAGCCGATACTGTTACGATATGAGCCGGCAGCTGAAAAGTGACCATGACGGATCAGATGATATGCTGAAAAGTGCCGACTCCTGACATGAGGAGGAAACCTCATCCTGTGCCCTAAAGTCACATGACACATGATTATGACAGCATGTATGTCACACATCAAGAGTCGGGGTCATCTAATTATCACGTTCTTCTAACTAACAGCATTATTGGTCATGACCGGATGCGTTCAGACTGAAGTTGAATGTTGAATGTGTGCACACTGGCAAACCAAGAGTCTAGAGGTGAGAAAAACCCATAAGGACACATTAACGTACAAAATAACAAACTCCATCTATTCATGCTAACTATAGCATCAGAAATGATCTACTATGTACCACTGTGATCTAACGTGTCAGTTTGGCATATATATATTCACTTTCATTACATCATCGTCAGTCAGCTGTATATCACCGATGTGAATGCAGACATACAGCTATGAGTCATTTACACATGAATCAGGAAGAGTTTGTTACAGTCCAGCTGGGTTAGCTTTTGTCAGTCCAATCAGATGATCCAAGTGTCATTACAAGAAAAAAAGAGCACCAGCTTCATACAAGAGTCCTCTGATTTGTAACCGAAAGCTCGGGGGCAAAAAAATAAAAAATTGCACTCAATAATTCACTGTGCCAATACGTTGAAATCAAGAAAAACACTGAAATATTTAAGCCTACATACAGAATAGTTCAGGCAGGTGAGTTTTTATTAGGGTTAGAGCTGAACTCTGCAGGACTGCGGCTCTCCAGGACCGGAGTTCGCCACCCCTGGTATAGTCTGTACAAGTATACATACATAGGACCCAAATCGCACCCTCTAAGAGCATGAATTAGGGCGAGGAGGAGTGTGATGTGGGTGTTGAAATATGATGACCATCTGTGTGGTCTGAGGAAGAGTTCAGTGCTTGATGTCTATATATATGTAGAACTGATGCGATCACTCAACACAGCACGATTCTCAGTATGAGAAAGCTTGTGGAAAAGAAAGACAAAAATCTGAATATCAAACTCAAGGGAACTTCGTTCTTCCTGTAGGTAACTTTTTTAGATGACAGAGGACATGTGTTTCTTCTTCTTCTCCAGTGGTTGACGTTGATGGAGTACCGTCAGGATGTTGAGATGGTGCAGGCTCCTGGAACGGGGCGCTTTAGATGGACTTGGATGAATCCTGCTTGCTGATGAGGACCTCCAGAAGCCGCAGTTTGGCTTTAATGCGCTTGTACTCCTTGTATTCGTCCATCATAGGCATGCGGTCTTCCTTCTGAACATTCCTGTGGGGGGAAAAAACATTTTGTTTAAATACAATGCTGATATGATGAAGGTAAAACATGATGTGTTTATGTTCGTTTTTAACCACTGGTCATGTCAGGTGAATTTCTTTGCATTACAGAGCGTGCAATGAGATGGCGCCAAGTTAACAGTTACTTAATGGTTGTTCTACAGTAGATCAATGTCAGTTGTATGAACTGAACAGAATCTGACGGAGGGTCAGGTGTACTAAGTGTTTACAGTAGCAATTGTAACATTTGTCTGGTACAATGTCAGAGGAGGCTCTTATCACTCAGTGTCTGATTACCCTGACTTATGCAAAATATCATCAAGAAAATTACAACAACCTGTTAAAACAAAAACATGCAATGACAAGCCAGGGTGTTAAAAACATAAAAACTGATTTCTGTTCTACAACGCCGCTGTGATTCGTTTCAAATCAAGACAATATAAGCAAAATGTCTTTAATCAGAATATATAAAAAAAAAGGTTTAAAGAGATACAGTATACAGTAAAAGTACAGTAAAATTATTGTAAATTATTACAATAAATTAAACACTTAAAATAACTATTTTCTGTTTGAATATAGTTTAAAATGTAATTTATTCCTGTGATCAAAGCTGAATTTTCAGCATCATTACTCCAGTCTTCAGTGTCACATGATCTTCAGAAATCATTCTGATATGCTGATTTGCTGCTCAAGAAACATTTATTGTCAATGCTAAAAACAGATCTGCTGTTTCATATTGTTGTACAAAACACTTTTCCCAGTTTTTTTTTTAATGAATAGAATTGTTGCATCACAGGAATAAATTAAATTTTAGTGTATATTAAAATAGAAAACCGTTATTTTACATTGTAACAATATTTCACACAATATTTTTTTTTTCTGTATTTTTGATCAAATAAATGCAGCCTTGATGAGCATAAGAGACTTCTATCTATCTATCTATCTATCTATCTATAAATTGGGCATACTTTCTATAGTAATTCACTCAATCTGATGACATAATGCGAAAGTACCATACAGACAATAAGAGGGCGAGGCTTAGAAGGCTGGACAATTCTGTGCTTTAGAACAAGAACTTAATGTTCCCTGCTTGAAAACATCATAGATTTCTACTGATCTACCAATTCAGGCAGAATATTGCCCACCGCTGGATTCCGTCTAGTGTGTTTGATCTCAAAAGCATGCCCCCTCTGCGCGCTCGGATGAAATGAACGTGGGAGGCCTACCTGCCATTCTGTTGGTAGAATTCATCTTCAAACTCTCTGATGGTCCTCCACAGTTTCTTCTTCTCCGCTCTGGCCTTCCATAGCTGTTCCAGGAGCTCGGGCCTGTGGGATACAGGTGGTGTTAAACTGCTGGGTTTCCATAGATGGAGCTGTAACTCTCCAGATACTATAGCAACAGAAAACTGTACTCAAAACACTCCTAAGCGGGATACAACCTTTGCATGACAAGAGCACGGCTCTGAGGTTAACTCGGGTCGGTAAAAGTTAGTAACAAGGTGACATGGATCTCGGCGGCACCCAATACAGTACGCGAGACTTAGATCTGGATGCTTGTGCAGTTGTTTTCCTTCATACAGGATTACGGCTTGATCCAGCTCGAGATTTTCAGGTCTCTGCCAAGTTCTATTAATAGACCTCATATGACGAGAGCGTGAGCCGATTGCTGCTCCTACCTGATCAAGTGTGGAACTATGTGTGTAGACACGCATGCACATAAATCAAGGTGTAGAAATCGAAGTCTCATTACTTCTGCCAGTGTAGGTTACACTTTCAACCCAAGACCTGCTGGGTAATTCCAAACTGAAGACTTCAACATTGCTTCAGATTTAAAGGAACATTTCACCCAAGAATGAAAATATGTTGAAATGTACTCTCCCTCAGGCCATCCAAGATGTAGATGAGTTTGTTTCTTCATCAGATTTGGAGAAATGTAGCATTACACCACTTGCTCACCAATGGATCCTCTGCAGTGAATGGGTGCCGTCAGAATGAGAGTCCAAACAGCTGATAAAAACATCACATAAATCCATTCCCTGTTGTCCTTTCACATCAAAATTCACCGACATGTTTTCTCTTGTCAACAGTGCTTGATCTGTGCATATTTCTCTCCAGATTCAGACCAGACAACTTTTTCACGGGAGAAAGTAATATTATGAATAACGGACTTTTTCGCAGTTTGAAGTTAAAAACATCTTGATGGATTTGTTTCTTACAAACACACAGCTTTTCACTTCTCCAGATGTTAACTGATGGAGTGGCGTAGATTACTTGTGGATTATTGTGATGTTTTTAATCAGCTGTTTGGACTCTCATTCTGACAGCACCCATTCACTGCAGAGGATCCACTGGTGAACAAGTGATGGAAAGCTACACTTCTCCAAATCTGTTACAATGAAGAAACTCACCTTAAATGGCCTGAGGGTGAGTACATTTTCATATTTGGATGAACTGCTCCTTTAAATCCATATGGAACAGCATTTCCATTCTACCTCCATAGTGTTCGAGGAATATTTAGTAAGAAAGTAAATATCAATTTTGATTTTCTGGTCCTGAATGTACTCACATTGAGGAGGCGTTGGAACTGGACAGACGCAGATCAAGATTGAGCTTCCCAGAGCTGAGGACGTTCTCCTGAGTGGGCTGCAGGGAGCTGGGCTGGGCTACTGGGTCCATGATGATTTCCAAACCCTCGCTCTGCAGCTCTACATTTTCCTGCTGGCCCCTGCCCTCCTCCTCCTCCTCCTCTTCTTCGATCTCACCACAGAAGTGGGCAGTTTCGCCCTCGATGATGGGCTGTAGCATCTGATTGCGCCGTTTGCTGGAGGGAGAAGCCTGTGCGAGAGAGGAGAGTCCGGTTATTCTGCTTCCTCTGTGCTAAATGTCTAGCCAGCGTACCATACAATCCTAAAACAACACTAGATCCTAATTCAGCTCTAGAAAGCAGTGTCAGCTTTCATTTCACAATCCTATCATATCTCACCCACTTTCAATATCATTCTTAGAATATGCATTAATTATAAACTCCAGACTTTTCAGGTTTCAGATTGCAAACATTAATTATAAATTATTCATAACATGAAATACCCAAAAGGCTAATGTGGGAGTGGTAAAAACAAAAAAAAGAGGAACAGAGTGACTTACTATGATAGGGGTGATGCTGACACGGGTGAGCATCTGCTTGACCAGCCGATATCTGTCATACAAGGGTTTCACAATCAAGCGCTCCTCTCGGGTCACCTGCAAGAAAGACACTTTTGTCAGAGCACTGCATACATGAGGAAGTTTTTGTGCGTGTGTGTGTGTGAGAGAGAGAGACACTTACTGGGCGCCCATGAATTCCCTCATAGTACAGAAGGTTCTTCTGCAGTACTGTTTTCTCACTGGCAAGCTGCTCCTTGGTCATTTTCTGTAAAGAGCGACAAATTAACTTCTCAAATTAGATCACGGCTGGATAAACTACATGACTTTTAATGTTTATTAAAGAAGTCTCTTCTGCTCATCACGGCTGGATTTATTTGATCAAAAACACAGGAAAAAAAACCTAATATTGTGAAATATTATTACAAACGGTTTTCTATTTTAATATACATTTAAAATATAATTTATTTCTGTGATCAAAGCTGGATTTTCAGCATCATTACTCCAGTCTTCAGTGTCACGTGATCCTTCAGAAATCATTATCATATGCTGATTTATTGTCAATGTTGGAAACAGTTGTGCTGCTTAATGTTTTGTTTTGTTTTCAAGATTCTTTGATGAATAAAAAGAACAGCATTTATTTAAAATAGAAATCTTTTCTAACAATATACACTACTGTTCAAAAGTTTGGGGTCAGTAAATTTTGTATCCTTTCTTTTGTTTGAAAGAAATTAATGCTTTTATTCAGCAAGGATGTGTTAAATTGACAAAAAGTGGCAGTAAAGACTTATATTGTTATAAATTATTTCTATTTTAAATAAATGCTGTTCTTATTAAATTTTATTCATCAAATAATCCTGAAAAAAGTATCACAGGTTCCAAAAAATATTAAGCAGAACAACTATTTCCAAGATTTATAATAAAAATAATAAATCAGCATATCAGAATGATTTCTGAAGGATCATGTGACACTGAAGACTGGAGTAATGATGCTGAAAATTCAGCTTTGATCACAGAAATAAATTACATTTTAAAGAATATTAAAACAGAAAACTATTATTTTAAATTGCAATAATATTTCACAATATTATTGCTTTTTCTGTATTTTTCATCAAATAAATGCAGCCTTGATGAGCATAAGAGACTTCTTTCAAAAACATCAGAAATCTTACTGATCCCAAACTTTTGAACAGCAGTGTATGCCTCATTACCAGGAGACACACGATGCATGAAAACAATGTGTTTTAAAATCTGCTTAAATAATTACAGGTTTGATATCCTTGAACTGGATGGAATCATGGTCTGAAGCCAAAATTGGAGTCTCTGCCCATTACACACTATTAATTTTCTATGAAATTTGTCAAACCCAGCAGCCCAAAATCTGTAGACCAGCTGTGACTTTTAACTAGCGTTGACTCATGCAGACTGTAAATCAAGGCAAAAATCTGTGCACAGGTCACGTAATGTATTCTACCCATTAGATGTTACAAATCTAACTTCCTGACAACGTCTGAGATTATATCAGTTCGTAATACATCAAAGCTGCAAATTAAAGTTTAAGAAGCTGGAACTCACTCTGATGTCCTCTGGCCAGCCGTCCTCGGCTCTCTTGGTTTGGATGCAGTGCTGAAGGAGCTCCAGCGTCTCTTCTCTTGTGGGCCGGTGACCCCATGCCTCACTCTCCACAGGGTCCTCGTGAGCCGACTGATCCAGTGTGGATCCAAAGCTCTTGGGCAGAGTGTTACTGCGTGGCCGCGTCTGTGGAGTCAGCTCACTCTCAGCCTTGTGTTTGGCATCTGGGTGAGAGAGACAAAAACAAAGACCGATTTAAGAGACCAGAAGGTTTGCTGGTCGCCGCGGACATTTAGGATGGAGTAGACCACACCAACCGAAAGAAATACAAGGTCAGTGATCGACCACACTCAGCATTACCACAAACTACGAAAAAGTCCATCAGTAGTGCACTGACGACCTCACAAAGTACACTATCAGAGGGCCAAAGAAGCATTTTGGAAACACAGGCCTGGTGACTGACAACAGCCTGTGAGCCCTTGAACCTGATATGATATTCCTCATAAACATACACTTTAGATGATTAAAGAAGCTGAGACATGTGGCTGAGAGCGTCCCGTAGGGGGAAAGATTCTGCGAGACTGCGGTCAGAGAAACAGAGAGAGAGGAGAGCAGAGAGTGTCAAACTCAAGTCTACTTACTGCTGCTTAAGTGTACTTACAGAAGTGGGGCGCCTGTCTAGAGGCATTGAGGGGGGCGTGACAGTGTAAAATGGGGTGTGTTCGGGACGGAGGAAGAGGACGAGTGGCGTCTGTATGACTGAAGCACGGCCGGGTGCCTCAGGGAACCTTTGGGTAAGAGGTGCTGTCGTCCTGCCGATGCGGGCCGTCCCGAGTAGATTTAGTTAAAGAGAAAGAGAGACTTTATACGACAGTGCACCTCTGATGGGGGGCATCAAATGGAAATGGATGATGGGAAGTGTGGGAGGCCAAACACAGTGAGCAGAGGGCTCTCCAGTAGAGTATGAGGGTGTTCCCATGAGAGAGAGCCCCAGAGCCTCTACAGACATGCAGTGTAAGGTGCACTTCTCCAGGCAGGCCCGGACCAAGACTGACACTGACTATCAGAAACTCCACACCCATATCGCTCCCCCGGCCCACACAGCCACCCTTACCTTTGAGCTGCTTGCGGATTTTGGTAAGGTCAGTCATCCACTTCAGCACCTTTGGATCAGCTGCCTTATCAGCGTGAGACGGCTGCAAGCGACAAACAGTGATATCAATTTAACTGAGAATGTGCATGGCAATAGATGTACACTGGATTTTGCCATTTGTCACAATGCAAAGGTTTTGCTATATGGTTGCTAGAGTGTTCTAAAAAGTCATCAGCATGTTGCTACGTATGTAGGGTGTGAGGGTGTTCTGAGAAATATAGTGTTGCAGGTCAAAAGTTTTAGAGCGGTTTTAAGAAGCTCACCAAGGCTGCATTTATTTGATCCAAAATACAGTAAAAGCAGTAATGGTTTTGAAAAATGTGCAAACTCAGCATGGTTTTGTGAAATGTTATTACAAATAAAAAATAACTGTTTTCTATTTGAATACATTTTAAAATCTAATTTATTCCTGTGATCAAAGCTGAATTTTCAGCATCATTACTCCAGTCTTCAGTGTCACATGATCCTTCAGAAATCATTATCATATGCTGATTTACTGCTCAGGAAGCATTTATTATAACTATCAATGTTGAAAACAGTTGTGTACAATTTTTCACCATTCTTTGATGAATAGAAAGTTCAAAAGAACAGCATTTATCTGAAATGGAAAGTTTTTTTTTTGGGGGGGGGGTTAAAGAAATGTGTACTTTTTACTTTTATTCAGCAGAGTTCAAAGACTTTATAATGTTACAAATGCTTTCTATTTCAGCTAAAGTCTGTTCTATTCATCAAATAATCCTGAAGAAAATTGCAGCAAATCAGCATATTAGAATGATTTCTGAAGATCATGTGACACTGAAGACTGGAGTGATGATGCTGAATCATTATTCAGCATCATTAGCTTTGCATCACAGAAATAAATTACATTTTAAACTATATTCAAATAGAAAACATTTATTTTATTTCACAATATTACTGTTTTAGCTGTATTTTGGATCAAATTAATGCAGCCTTAGTAAGCGAAAAAGGCTACTTCAAAAACATCTTACCGATCTAAAACATTTGACCAGTAGTGTATATCATTCTAACCTTGTAGTTTCTCTCTTTTTCAAACTGTTCCTCAAACTGCTTGATCTTCTTCTTGAGGTTCTGGAGTTTCTTGGTGAACTGTTGGGAAACGGTGTCTCCCTTCAAACTGTCTTTGGAAGGGAGGGAAGCACGGCGAGGCCTGTGAGACGTGACACAAGCGTGAGTTTGGCTGTCAGTGTATCTGAGCAATCATAAGTGCATGTGGTCTCTCTGCTCACCTCCCACAGGGCAAAGCTTTGGTGGAGGATGTAGCATCGTGGTCCTGCTGCAAGAACCGCTGACTGTGGCCAAACTCCAGAAACCGCCGGGCCAGTAGCGGCTGAGTATCTTCTTCTAGAGGTGGGGGCATCATGCAGCCCGCCAGCGGAGACAGTTGGGCCTCCCCTGACTCGGTCTCCTCTTGCCATGACATGAACACTGGCACAGGGTCTGCCAAAGACACACAGACACATACACTGCCATAAAAACCAATATCATCACCATAACGCAACAGTTTAATCGCAAACACTTCAATACAGAGTTAGAAGTTCACAACAGGCCTGGGTTGCTTTGTGATATAAACCCAAAGTCTAAACGGGTGCGCAGAAATCAGAGCTGCTCTGACACATAGTGGGCGAGCCATACAGCGCATGAAAACAAAGACTTTCTCAGATCGCTTGGTGGAAATGGACGAGCACTGTGTTATTTGGCGGGTGACTCTTCTGGGTAATAGTGCACAGTTGAACGTCATCCACTCAGACAAGCATTCACACACAGATTCTAAAGCCAAAGTATTTAAAGAGCTTCATTGCTGCTACATCCACAATGACAGCAGCCATTGTTTATCGTGCTCGATGCAGGGAATCATGCTCAGAGCAGAAGTCACGTTGACCCGAGAGGGCAGAGAATGTACTGGACCGTGGCCTGCTGTGGAAACTTAGCCGATCAAATGTGCACTGCCTAGATGTCTGACATGGTGGTTAATTAGGAGAAAGCTGATGCATTTGCTGATGGCAGATGGTAAATAGTGGGAGTCAGCAGGACCAACTGGGTGCATGTGAGGAGCCGAAGGGTTAGTCAGAGTCTCTGAACCTGAAGCTGTTTTCAGTCCATTTGACGTCAGAAGTGAATTTGGTTGGTGTGAATGCTAGGCTCTGTTAGAAAATGGGGATCTGGGGAACAGTGAATTTATGTGGATTGCAAACCAAAATGATACCTATAAAGATAACTATAACAATAATAACTACGTTAGCGTCCACATGAATGGATGATAACATTCTGTTTATTATAAGCACACTGTAATTTTGTTGTCTCCTGCTGGTTTAAATGCTTAAGCTCTTTAAAGTCGGGTATGTTGTGATCAGCTGGAAAAAAAAATATTCAACTATATTGTTCCTCTGTCATTATCGTTATAGCTGTGAACTACGATTACTAAAACTTTATAGTTAAAGTTATTGTACTTAATTTGAACAGGTCATTTGTATGAAAGCAATCCGTCCTAATTTTGCAGAAGTAAACTGCTTTTGTACAAGTACACTACAAGTCAACTACCAGTAAATTTAATACTCTTACTTTTGTTCAATATGCATTATCACACTTAAATCCCTTCTGCGAAATTCCACAGATTTCCCACTAAAATCAAGGTGGAAAAATGCAGAAAAGGCTAATTTCCATTTGGGCCTCCAAATTGATACCTGACTTGGAAGAAATCGCATTTGGCAAGCAACAAGTGCATCCAAAAGTGTTGTTCTGGGTGCAGTTTTGATAGAAAAACAATAACAGCAAGCCAAAAATGCTTTACATTTTTAGTGCCTATTCACGGTGGAACTCTGTGGTAGATGCTGAAAGCGTACCGTCGTTCGAGGGGCAGAGACAAACTCGGGTTCGAAACAAATGTGAAAACAGCCTGAGAGGAGCAGTGGGTGATGGACAAGCAGGGGAAGTAGGGCTGTCGCGATAACCGCAATATCGCAATACCGCGCTATTGACGAGCAAACCGCAGAGGAATGCAAGAACCGCAGCAACCGCGATTTTTGCGTGTTTTCTTTTTTCATAAGGTTATGCCCTTCTCGTTTTACACTTCATGCATGTGGACTGAATATTAAACAAGTTAGTAGTGATAACATAATATGTACCGTGCTGATTTGTACAGAGGCTCCGTAGATTTGCACTTAACAAGCCTAAACAGACAGTGAATGAGAGAGAGAGATCGACTAAGCATGTACTCCCTTCTCTCTGCAGGTGCATACATGTGAAGTCAATGGATGGGAAATTGATGGGGCATGATTCTGACCAGGCATGGGCAGAGAGAAAGAGAGAGAGATAGCACAGGAGAGTGCAGTGAGCGATGAGCCTCTCTCTCACACACACACACACACACACACACACTCACTCACTCACACACACACACACGCACGCACATGTGGACTGAATATTAAACAAGTTAGTAATGATAACATAATGTGTACCATGCTGATTTGTACAGAGGCTCCGTAGATTTGCACTTAACAAGCCTAAACAGACAGTGAATGAGAGAGAGAGATCGACTAAGCATGTGCGATTCCTTGCGTCTGTCCTCCAGGCCGAGTCATATATATTTGTGAAAATAGTTTGTCATGTCCAAGGAAAGCGAAATCTCTCTTAGCATCGACGCATAGCTGGTCAGCTGAGCCTTCTAAAGTGGCACTCAAAGTTAAAATGATTTCAACAGCGTGTTTCATTACGTCTCTCTTTGAATGAATGAATCAGCTTTTTTGAACGTGTAGTTGAAAGAACGGTTTAAAGACTCACTCAAAGACAGTCCCTTACCACCACCTTGTGGCGCAACACTGTAACTGCACTGACTGACAGCCCGTCTAGAACGCGCGCA